CATAATCATCATTATTATCATTATTATTATTACCATCGTTATCATTATCATTATTATTATTATTATTATCATCATTATTATCATTATTATAATCATCATCATCATCATCATCATCATTATAATCATTGTTATAACAATGATGATGATGATAATAGTCATTATCATTATTTTAATGATCTTGATGATTATTACTGTTATTGCTATTTTTTCATTATTGCTACTATCCTTATTATCATTATTATTAGTATTGTTAATATCAGTAGCATTATTAGTATCATTATTATCTATTTATTATTAATAATAATGATGTTATTATTTATTATTATTATTATTATTACCACCATCATTGTTATTATCATTATTTTTGTTATTATCATTCTTATCATTATCATTATCATCATCTCTATTATTATTAATGTTATTATTGGTATTGTCTTTATCATAATTGTCACTATTATTTTTGCTGTTGTTGTTTTTATCATTATTTTCATTATTATTGTTGTTATTATTATTATCATTATTGCTATTATTTTTATTGTTGTTATTGTTATTATTATTATTATTAGTATTATTACCATTATCATTATTATAATTGTTATTATTTTCATTAGTAGTAGCAGTATTATCATCATCATTAGAATCATTGTTATTATTATCATATCATCCTTATCCCCATTCTCATTCTCATTGTTATCATTATCAGTATGATAATCGTAATCATCATCATCAGTATCATCATTAATACCATCATTACCAATATCATTCCTTTAATAACTATTATCATTTCCACCAATCGAAGATGAAAAAGTTTCTTCAGCTAAAACATTCGCCACACGTTGAAAAATATAGAAAAACGTGTGAAAAAATATGAACAGACGAATATGTCAAATGCACTGATATCCGGCTCTATCGAAAATCCACTGCCCTTTAGTCGGCAATTTCACCATAATCCACCTTACTTCAAGTTGTTCCGGAGGCTCACGGAGGAAGAGAGTTGCCAGAGGTCGCCACGGAGAGAGGATGTCCCTATTATTATTATTATCATTATTATTATTATTATTATATTATATTATTATTATTATTATTATTTTATTATTATTATTATTATCATATCATCATCATCATCATCATCATCATCATCATCCATTATTATTATTACTATCCTTAATGTCATTATTGTTATTATCATTATTAGTATGAATGTCATTATTGTCATCATTATCATTATCATTTTGTTATTATTACTATTATTATTATTATTATTATTATTATCATTATTATTGTTTCTCTCATTATCATCATTAACATTACTAGCATTACCATTATCCTCTTTATCATAGTTTTATTGCTATTATCATCATTATTATTTTTGTTGTTGTTGCTGCTTTTGCTCTTTTTACATCATTGTATCGTTATTATCATTATTAGTAGTAATGCTAATATTATTTTAGCATTATTATTATTATTATCATCATTATTATTTTTATTGTTGTTGTTGTTGTTGTTGTTGCTATTATTATTATCATTATTTTTGTTATTATTATTATTATTATTATTATTATTATTATTATTATTATTATTATATATTATTATTATTATATATTATTATTGTTATTATTATATTATTATTATTATTATTATTATTATTATTATTATTATTATTATTATTATTATTATTATTATTATTACTTTTATCATCATCATTAACGTTATTATCATCATTATTACTGCCATTTTCCTTACTACCATTATTATCATAATAATCATTATCATTGTTATCATTTTCGTTGTTGTTATTGTCATTTTCATTATCACTTTTATATTTTATTATTATTATTATTATTATTATAATATTATACAGCAGTATTAGTAGTTTCATTATTATTAACTTTATCATTATCATCATTTATACATTGTTATTATCATTATCTTTGTTAGTGTCACTAAGTATTGTAATTATTTTCATTGTTATCACATCATTATTATTATCTTTACCATTATAATCATTATCATATAGCCCTTATCAATTTTACCATCATTATCGTTATTATCAGAATATTTCCACTGTTATTATCATATCATCATTGCCATTATCATTATCATATCTTATAATCATCATCATTGTATTGTCATTATCATTATATTGTTGTTACTATCATATTCATTATCATTCATTATTCTTATTACTATTATTATCATTATTAATATTATAACTATTATCATTGATATCATCATTATATTTTCTAAATTATTATCATAATTCTATTAGTATCCTCATTATTACCATTATCATTACTAATATCATTATCATTATCATTACTCTTATTATTCTTTATCATAAACATCACTATCATTACCATAATATCCTTTATTGTTATTGTTGTCATAATCACTACCATTATCGCAATTGCTGTCCTTATCACTTTCATTGAGGATATAACAGTTATCATTATTACAAACCGGGGACCACCATACCGGTAAGACTTGATTGGGTTTGATGAGTCAACTACAAGTAAATTATTGCATAATACTTGCCACGGGGTTTGTTTCATTATCACCAAATTGAAATAACTACAAAGAATGTTTTGGAATGATGTGAAGCTCCTAGTTATTGCTTTGAAGTGATGTGAAATTCCAAGCTATTGTTTTGAAATTATGTAAAAGAAAAACTAGTTATTGTTTATATATTTTGTAAAACGCATAGGTATTGTTTTATAATAATGAGAAATCCCTAATCATTATTTTGAAATGATATCAAATTCGTTGTTATTGCAGTTAAATTTTTCCGTGATGACTGTATAAGGTGTCAATGAGAACTGACGTGTCACCCTTCGAATCCACTTCCTTTTTTCATATGGCAGACCTTTTACACAAGAAGCGTGAAGTGGATATTGAAATTCCATTTTTAAGAATAACACATAACAGTGTTTTCCTAACGTCTTTGTCCTCTACTTTCTGTAAACCCTCTCCCTCCGTCCATCCTTTATCTCTCCTTCCTCCCTCCTTCCATTGAGATTCCCTTCAGTGAAGCTATCTTACCCTCCCGTTCGCCCACTCTCCTTCCCGTTCCCTTGGCCCCTCCCTCCCTCCCTTCCCTCCCTCCTTCCCCCCGCCTTTCCTCCCTCCAACACTAGTCCTTGCACCGAAGCCTTCCTGTCCCACCCCTCTTGCCCCCTTCCTTCACTCATACCACTCCCTTTCGTTTCATTACCAGTTCCTCTATTGAATCTATCCCTCTATCCCCTTTCTTTCCTTCTCGTTCTCTTCTTCCCCTTTTCTCCTTCTTCCATTACTGGTCCCACATTAAATTGACCCCCTCGCTCCCCTCCACCCCCTCCCCTTCCTTCACTTCCCCTCCCTCTCTTTCACTTTACCTTCCCTTCCTTCCCCCTTCCCTCCACACCCTCCACTTCCCTCCCCTTGGTAATCCTTATATGTCACCAGCGACACCTCAGCATCCCTAATCTTATCCTACACTACACTTACCGCTCCTTACCTGCGATCTGATCTTCCTTTAGGTATACAGGAGTGTTATCTGATCTATGTAGGTCTACTGAAACACTGTTGTAGGTCTAGCCAAACATCCCTTTGTCAGATTTAATCGTGTTTATATGTGATTATTGCTATCAGATTTGACCGTGGCATATGGCTGATATAGCGATGAGTTGTATTACAGTCTTTCTGGTGTCCGAAACGACCGGCGCGATTGGATTTATGATTCATTTGGTGTCCGATTTCACTGTGTCTTGCGATCAGTGTAAATAAGATTCCAAAATATCTAGCGTGCGAATGGACTCTGTCACTTGATCTATGTAGAGACTTTGCAACTTAACTGGTATCATATTTGGTCGTGACACAAACGGAGATGAACTTATGTTCTATTTGGTGTTAAATATGGCCGTGTCACATGATTAGTGTACAGATAAATTAAGAATCTAATGCCAGATTTAACCGTCACAAAACCAATGAAGGGACGAGTTTTCTGGTTATCTGGTGCCATATCAAATTATATCAAAGACCAATGTAGAAATTCATCAATGCTGTATCTGGTGGCAGAGATCATGTGAAATAGTGTTTGTAAAGTTTCCAACTAGTATGGTGGTAATGATTATGATAATAACAATATTGATAATAATAAGGATAATAATGATGATAATGATAATGATGATAATGGTGATAATGATGATGGTTACATTGAAAATATTAGCAATGATTGTTATTATAATAATTGTTATGGTAATAATGATAATAATAATGGTAATGATGATAATATCCGTAGTAATAACGATAGTAATAATAATGATAATAGTAATAATAGTAAAAATAATAATGCCAAAGATGATAGTGAAGATAAAAATAACAATGATAGTAATGATAATCACAATAACAATGATAATAGAGATAATGATAATGATAATGATGATAATAATAATGATAATAATAATAATAATAATATCAATAACAATGATATAACAATAATAACTATAATAACCAACAGAAGTAGCAATAGAAGAAGTAGGAAGAGGATTATTTTTACTATTACTGTTATTGATATCACTATTATCATTATTTTTTTTATCTGATACATAGATGCATACGTATAAATAGGATGTGTTTCATCTACGTCTTTATCCACCTATAGCATTGCGTTTACTAGTAAGAATCCCACTGAGATATTTATTTGCTACTTCATACAGGGATACAAAAATGGAGATTTTACTCTTCAGTTTTAATCTGCAAGAATATCATCGCTATAGAGTTATTTGTCATGTTCTTTGGATTTTTTTTTTTTCAACCATAGTCATAAATAGGTCTAAATAATGGGAGTTATTACTGCGTGGACGGGGGGTGAGGAGGAGGGGGAGGGGGGTGCTCCGGGGGTCTGTCAACATCCTGGGGGCGGATCGTCCTTCGGCGCGGGGGAGGCGGCGTCGGCGGCGTCAGGATATCGATGATGTCGTCGTCCGTCGTGGATTCGTCGAGCTCATCGTGCGAAGATCTGGATTCGTCTGCTCGTGGAGACGGCGACGCGTCCGGGAGTGACGAGTCGAAGGGCTCTTCCTCGGGTTTGGAGGGACTCGTCGGCTCTTCTGGTTCTCTTGCTGGGGAGTCGAGTGCTGGCTCTGCTTCGGGCGGCGCCGGTGCTTCGTCGCGCGCTTGGTCGTCGGCGTCAGGAAAGAGGAACACAGACGGGGACGGCGCTGGACTTTCAAGCGCTATAAGGTCAATCTCCAGAAGACTCGTGTCGACAGAAGCAGGACCATCATCACTGTGGGTATTGTTGGTGAAGCCTGAGTCCGAGGTTGAGTTCAAAATGGCCGAGGGCGCTTCGACGCTGTCAGCAGACCCGTCAAGGGCATCTTGGGAAGAGAAGGAAATGAGCGAAACGTTGCGGTTCAAGTCGTCGTCGTCCGCGTCAACCGAGTCGTCGACGTCGCATGAGGGGGAAGGATCGAGGGGAAGGTCTTTGGTCTTTGGTGATTTGAGCATCCTTGTCGAGGGCGGCGGAGGAGGGGGAGGAAGAGGCGCGGGGCGAATGGGCGTGTCTCCTTTCTGTTAAAAGCATACGTGATTTACAGTTTAAGGCTAACAGTGCATCACCTCTCTGCAGATGATTGTAGTGCCAAATTGCAGGTTGCATATCTCAAGATGTGTGCAAAAGCCACTAGAAAAGTCAAGTAATGATAAACCAACACTGAAAAATACTGAATCAGGCGGTGCATACCGACGCGAAGTGTGCCTGCAGCTCTTTCTGATTAGCTTCATCCGAGACGATTCCCGCCTCGGGGTTGAAGCCCACGTGGCAGAGGTGCTGGAAGTTAGTCGGCTTCCCGATCATCTCCTTTCTGAAAGTGAGGAGGAACAGGTTAAGAGAAGGTCGAGGAAACAGTTTAAGGTTGTGGGAGCGTTTGTGAGTTTGCGTTTCTGCATGGAGGTGAGTAAATGAGGGATCGTGAGTGTGAGTTTATTCTTATTGTTAATGTTGTCGTTTTGATGACGTTTACGTAATGACAACTTACGAAATCCTTTTGGCGACGGGTTTTTTCTTCGCTGAGGAAGCCTTCTCCCCCAGTGCCGGGAGAATAGATGGAGACGCCCCTCTCACTCCTGACTTCTCCTCCTTATCTCTTTCCTTCTTCACGAGTGCCTCTCCTTCCTCCTTCTGCGGCGGGACGGCACTCGGACTAGGAGGAGGGCGCGGTGGAGGAGGGACGCTCGGGGGCTTAGGGCGCCCTGCAAAAATCAGCCGCGGTCACAGCTGCTGGAAGGGTCTTCATCAACCGCAACTGAACAGAAGCTGAACAGACCCAGATCAACATGACAGATCCAAATATGACAATAAAAGAAAAGCGGTGAATAGATAACAAATATAATTATATAGATATAAGAATAAATGACAACGAAGAAACGCCAGTTTATAGGATGGATATAACAAAATAAGAACAAACTGGCTCCATTGTCCATGACACTGGGATTAGGGTGTCCTCAACGGATCGTCTCGCCTTTCCAGTAAACCAGTGTGTCCACTAACCACTTAGCGAGAAGCCATTATCCTATCAACATGTTAATGTGTTTTCGACGTTCATCATTCATATGGCATGATATATTAATGCATGTATTTATGTATAAATATATATATATATATATATATATATATATATATATATATATATATATATATATATATATATATATATATATATATATATATATATATATATATGTATATATATATATATATATATATATATATATATATATATATATATATATATATATATATATATATATATATATATATATATATATATATATATGTATGTATGTATGTATGTGTGTGTATATATATGTATATATATTTATATGTGTGTGTTTGTTTGTGTATACATGTATGTTTGTATGAATGCATGTATATATACATTAATGACAGAGAAGATACTCGCCCTCAGGTCTCGCGCGCTTCCCGGCCTGCACCGTCTGCACCGCCGTGTTGAAGTTGACGGCGTCGACTTCGCTGCCGAACTTTAGCCCTATCTTGAGGCTCTATACAAAAAAAAGAAAAACAAAAAGAAAAAATGCAAGATGTGTGCCGTGTTCGAAAGGATGGACAAGGGCAACTTTTCAGCTTTAGAGACACGAAGACAAAGTCTGAGTCCGTGTATCAGAATCGGAACCACAAGTCACGTTTTCTTTCTCTACAACAGCTCTAGAATATAACAGCATGATTTAATCAGAATTCTGCAAAGATACCAAAAGTACCGAAGATTTCGTATAGAGAACGTCAGGCAATATAAAGCTTTGTCTTAAATATTATTCCAAGCTACGCATTTATTCGCGTCATTTTTTTGCTATACACACACACACACACACACGCACACACACACGCGCGCGCACATATATATATATATATATATATATATATATATATATATATATATATATATATATATATATATATAATGTATACAATATATGTAACATATATATAGCTCATTGCTATTGAGAACTTTGCTTTCCGTTTTACCTCGTTTTGAAAATGGTGGAACAGGGTGGAGGGAGCGCGGTAGTGCGAGCCCCGCGTGAGCACGTACTCTGAAAGCCTTTGCCATTCCACAAAACTGTATATCTGGTGGAGATTGTTGTCGCTATTAAGAGAGGTTTCACTCTCGTCAGTAAAAGAAAGAATGTAATGATAATGATAACAATGATGAAAATAATTATTATAATATAGTAACAATACTCACTGATAATAACGATAATAATGATAATAATATAGATAGTGATAATGGTAACAATGATAACAGCAATAATAATAATGATAATGATAATAACAATAACAAAATAATAATGACAATAACTATTATCATTGCTGTTACTATTATTACTGTTATCATAATGATAATAACAAGGATAATAATAATATCAACAACAACAACAATAATAATAATAATAATAATAATAATAATAATAATAATAATAATAATAATAATAATAATAATAATAATAATAATAATAATAATAATAATAATAATAAAAATAATAATAATAATAAAGCACATATCATTATGCAACCCACCCTGTATCTACTAAGAAACACATAAATTTATCTAAAGCAAGTATACAAGAGTCAGACCTGTATAAAATAAGATTTGCGCACGTAGTCCTTGGTGAGCGCGACCAACACCCCTGGATTGAGACGCTGCCACTCCTTGTCGTCAGCTGGGACATCCTCGCCCTCCGCCGTCAGCACGTCAGCGACCCCCGAGGATAAGACCTGGAAGGAGATGACGTCGTTGAAGAGAGTAAGATAATTTGTTCTTTCGTCGTTTTGGGTTGTGGAAGGGAAGACTTTTATTTATCGTCGATATCGTAAAATAGACAATGTAGTGGTCTTTATACTTCGAAGGTCTTCTGTTCTTAAGATATCCATGTGTCTAGACGTCATATTTTGGGGTAGATTGATTTCCTTGACGATAGAAAGAACTACAGTGAATATGAAAAAAAAATATGACAAAAGAACTGCAGAGCGCAAGAAAGTAGAGATCATTTAGCACATTTAGACGCCAAATATGTCCGTACTTTACTAAACAATTACTTATCAAATTAAATGCTACTTATAAAAGAGAATATTTTTTAGATAAGCGTATGTGAATATTTTTTTTCTTGGAAGAAAAAAAATAGGGGTAGTTCAAAATTTCCAACATTTTCTCGAAAAGCACGCTACGGAAGGTGTCAAACCAGCTCGCACGCTTTTTAAATTCTATGAAAATATCGGTCAGATCGTATCAAGTGCTCAGTATCGGTGGACTAATACCGCTTTCCCGATCTAACCTCTCCTTTATGACCCTATATAGTTTTGATTTTATAAACGGTCATTAAATTCTTTCAGGTTGACAGATAGTATATTTAATAGTTCTGAAATATTTCTGATTTACCTGGTTCGGATACTTATCCCAATTGAAAATGATCCCAACATTTCTACCAGGTGAAAATGACTCTTAATTAGGAAAATGATCGCCTATCGAACTTTTAGCGGGTAGCATAACTATTAGGAACATATAGGCCTACCCTGTCTGCTTAAGGTCACGTCTGGATTCAACATTTTCAGGCGTACGCTTTTAAAGGGAGGGAGGGGGGGGGGAGCAAAAGGAGTGCTCTGTGTACGCTTGTGAAACTATTGACCTCCCCCTTAATGATGAAACCACTGACCTTGTTCAGTATCAGATACTTATTGAAAACAGTGTAGAGATTAGCTAATCTGACCTAGAAATGGTAAATAAGTAATGTTGGTGACAATAATAGTTTTGATAATGAAAATGATAGAAAAACAATAATGCTAGTAATATATATATGATAAATAATAATAATGACAATAATGATAGTGATGATAATTATGATGAAGATGATAATGATATGATTATATTATAATAATAATAAAATTGATATGATTAATGATATGATAATATTAAGTAATAATGATAATAATAACGATAATGGTAATGATAATAATTATTATAATAATGATAATGATAATAATGATAATAATAATAATAATGATAATAATAATAATAATAATAAGGATAATAAAAGCAATGATGATAATGATAAAGATGCAGAGGTAAATGAATATAAAGATCATGGCGATGATGATGATGATGATGAAGATGATTAATATTATTATTGTTAATATTATCATTAATTTGAATAATGATAGCGATAACGATAATGATCACAAGAAGCACTCAGAGAGCGCGTCCCTCCACCAAGGCAACAGGGTCACTGATTCAATTGAAATACTCACATTTGCAGAATAGTTTAAAATCACCTTTCTCAAGTACACAGGTGACGTCCGTAAACATAACCTTATTAACTGATTACTGAAAAAAAATCCCGGATCACCACCAAAATTTAATAGAATCAGGTTAAGACAACGCTGGTAAAATTTTATAAAAATCTGTTCATAATTTTTTTTTAGTTATCTTGCTAACCAACGAACAGACAAACGCGACGAAAAAACATAAATTTGGCGGAGATAATAATCAGGCGCGATGCCACGGGTGGGGGTGTGGGTGGTGCGATACCCCCCCCCCAGGTCACAAATCGTCATTTCACTTGGCAGAATGGAAAAAAAATTAATTTAGTCGGCAAACTTGGTGTTCGGCAGAATTTAAGAAATCAATGATCATGGTTTGTAACTCTCGAAGTTTTCATTTTCATTTCAATTTGGTCCTTTTCGAAACAAGATATTAAAAAGTATGAAGTGTGGATTTGATTTTTAAAATGTTACTCGGTAACCTTGCTCCCGACACCCCCCAAAAAAAGTTTTCTAGCGCCGCCCCTGGTAATAATAATAATAATAGTAGAAGAATTAGTGGTAATAATAATAACAATAAAAGTACTAATGATAATAAAGATAATGATCAAAATAATAATGATAATGAGGAGGAGGAGTAGAATAATAATAATAATAATAATAGCAGTAGTAATGATAATAATAGTGATAGTTATAATAATGATAATATTCATAGTGAAAATTATATTAATAATAACATAAACATTACTAATAGAAATAATATCGATAATGATAACAATAATCGAATTAACAATAATAGTGATAAATATAATTATGATAATAATGATAGTGTTAATGATGATGATCATAATAATATTGATGATAAGAATAACATCGATAATGATATCAATGATGATGATAATGATGATGATGATAATAATAATAATAATAATGATAATAATAACAATAATAACAATAATAATGATAATAATAATAGAAATATTAATTATATTGATACCAATAAGTGATGATGATTATGATAATAGTAATGAAAATGATAATAACAATAATAATAATGATGATAATGTTGCTGCTAATAGTAATGGTAATAATGATAATGACGATAATGTCAATAATAGTTATGACCTAATGATAATTATAAATATAATAACGATGAAATAATGATAACAGTAATAATGATAATAAGTGAGAATGATAATCATAGTGATAATTATGATAAGAATGAGTGATAATCATATTGATAATTATGATAAGAATGAGAGTGATAATGATGATACTACTAATGTTGATCATAAGAATAATAATGATTAGAATAACAATAATCAAAACTAATCAAAATATCGATAATACTGATAAGAATGATAACAATAATAATAATAGTAAAATGATAATACTAATAATGGAAATAATAGAAATACTACTACTAATGATAACAATTATTATTTATTATCATTGTTATCAACAACAGAATAGTAATAATGATGATAATAGTGACAATAAGAAGAATAACAATAATGATAATGATAATAATAAGTAATAATGATATTAGTTATTATCAACATTATTAAAATGATAATAATGATAATGATAATGATGAAAATGATAATAATGATAATGATATTGATGAAAATTATAATAATGATAACGATAATAATGATAATGATAGTAATAATGATTATGATAATAATGATAATAAAAATTATAGCAATAATATGAAAATTGTGATTTCATAATAATAATGATGATAATAAAAAAAAAATACTAATATTGATAATAACAGTTATTAATAATATTCTAATAGTAATAATAATGATATTAATAATGAAATGATAATGATAATAACAATGATAATGATGATCATAGTAGTAACAGCGATTTGTCTTGTTGTTTTTGGTTGTGTTGTAAGCATGGAACTCCATATACCTGATAGCTTTAAGAAGTACCCCAAGCAATTAGAACTATATATATGCATTTACTAATGGATGGCCGTTCTGGATACTCCGAGGAAGTATATCCATGTTCTATTTTAGCAGTACATTGCATATATTTAGGACCTCTCTAATTTTATCTTTCCTGCTATTAAGATTAAAAAACTCAAATCGAGCAAAAATAAACGTGATTTCATTCTACATATTCCCTTCAAATCAAGATCACTGGATTTCTTTGCTCGCCTGGCACTTGACACCGTAAATAGAGAAGAGTTTGTCGAGTTTTGTCCAATGTTTATCCAATATATCGACAGCTTTTATCTTACTTGTTATTAAGACCAATAAACAATCTCGAACGGAACCAAAATATACATATAATTAAAGCTTTCCCTCTACATATTCCCGTAAAAATGGCATTGTTGGATTCCTTTCCTCACCTGGCACTTGAGACCCACGAGGGAGAAGATCCTGTCGTTGGCTTCCTTGCTGAGGAGGGCCGACGGCGAGTGGTCTGCGGGGCGTCTCTTCGGGGCCGCCATCACGCGACGGCGAGGACCAGGGGGGCGCCAGGGCTCTCAGTCCTTCGGGGAAGCGAGGACCATCAGGATGAATTGGGGGCGAAGGGAAAGGCGTGGGAGGGGAACTGCTCTCGTAGGCAGTAGGCTGTAATCTTTTATAAGCTTGGATTTTTTCCTTGATTACGCTGGTTTATGATATCGAAAAGCTTTTTAGATAAATTTTGTTGGATGGTATTTATT